GATTGCGCAGAACAGAACTGAACATGGTGGGGAGAAAATCTGCTACAGCCAGATTAGATTTGACCTGTCAATACTACTGATACCGCAGTTTTGTACCGAAAAAGGATTTTCTGTGGTGTTTCCCTTTTGTTTTGCTCTTCCTCTTCTGTGCCGTACTGAAAAGCCCTGGAGGTCAGCCGGGGGCTCGAGCCCCGATAACCTCTCAGAAAAATGAAGTGGCACACTAACATCAGTACCAGCAGAAGAACAGAGTAAAGATAACCAGCTCCCACTTTTGGACCTGCTGTCAAGCTTGTAAAATAAGAGCAACCACCAATTCTGCTTGACTGGATTGTTCCCACTGTTTTGATTTCACATAGTGTTCTGTTTGCTTTTTATGTCCTCACTGACTGCACATGCCCAGCTGTCAGACCTTGATAGAAAGCTGGGTCACAGCTCTTTGGAGGCCTCCCCCTCTCTCCTTATTCTCAAAGCCAGGGGCTTTACTTCTTGGTCACTGAAGGCTCTCTTGGGACAGCTGACAGTTACGGTTCCACCTGTTTGCTGCATGAACAGCCAGATTGGTCATGAAGATCTCTTAAAACTTGCAATTTGTAATCTTGAGTTTTAAGATAAACTAAAATTAGGTAGAACAGATCAGACATTTGTGCAGTGAGCAACACACAGAGCTAAGAGTGGTGATCTTATCAGGTGTTCTAAGAGAGATGCATCCTGTGAGCGGTACTGACCAGCCTCACCTACAAAAGTTACCCATGTTAGATTCAGACAGAACAAAGCTCTTGTGTTATGAAGCATGACAGCATCATGAAAGCTGGTGCTTTATATATGTTGCTGAGTGTTTCAGATACATTTTAAAAAACCCAACAAATCTAGAGGTGCAAGTTCTTAAAAGAGGAACTGGTGCTTTGATATGTTTGTAAAATCTATGCTTTTTTCCCACTGGTCAATTCTACAGTTTCACCTGAATTTATTCTCTCAGTGTGAGACCAATCCATAATCTGTTAGTCAACTTGTATACCTGTTCTGCCTCACTGAGTATTTTACAGTAGGACAAAAAAACATTTAGGTGCAGCATGATCTCCAAGATAGGTGTTTGAAGTTCTAACTTCAGAAGTAAAGGCTTTATCTTTTTAAATCAAATATTTTTAAATACGAGCATACTTCTAAATTGCTCAGTACTTAACTCTCACTATCTCTAAGAATGCTAAGAGAAAAGTATTTTATGCTTTTTTTTGTACTTCCACAAAGGAAAATACAAGCAACTCCTGAACCTGCACGCCTTACTGGGAATGGTATAAGTGACCTCTTTTCCCTTGCAGGATCTGGTAATCTATAATAAGCATTTATACTTTCTAGCAGAAATAGGCAGTTATGATGCATTTTTGGCTTTTGTAGGTGAAAAATACTGCCTGAAAACCTCCACGGAGAACTACAACAAAACCAGTTCAGATTACAGACCATTAGGTATGTAACTGGCAAGAGCAGACACCTAATGAAAACACATCATGATGTGTCTGGAACTTCCCCAGGATGTTCCACTAGCCTCCAAAATGTGTTTGTTCTAGGGAATTCCTGAGCCAGACACAGTATCTTTGGCACCAAATAGCTCCAGCTGGATTTTTCTCCCTGGGGTCTTTCAGGTCTGTGCAAAATTCTGTCACCTGCAACATTCTGAAACAGTAAATTCCAAAGTTTAACTAGGGATTGCTGTAGCAATGCTTTGTATGGTTGAGCTTGCTGCATGATTATGTGGTAGACATTATTTTCTTTCCCAAGAAGAACTTTACCTTTTCCCATGCCACCCATTAACTTTATTATACTTGGCATATTCTCATTCATTTTTCCTGCTGCAGGGCCCCAGTGTGTTCAACATAACTTCTGTACCAAATCTTTGCCTGTGCTAGGTGTCCTTAACCAAAGCACTCCACAATACAACACGTGTGCATCTAGTGCTTTCGCACATCAGGGGCAAGATGTGGGCATATAATACAGCTATATAGAAGCATTTGCTCATTCTCTGCTTCGTAAATATTCCTAGTACTTATTTACCTTTCTGAAACTGCTTTTAACACTACTCAGCAAGCTTTCATAGAATTGTGCATTTTAAATTCAAGACAATTTTAAATGAGAACAGTTCACAGAGCTCGTCACTGTATGCATGGAATTAAGGCAGGGTTTTTTCCTTCCCTTACCCTAACTTCCACTCCTTTAACTAACCAATTTTCTTTAATCATGAGGTCTCCCTACAGAGGTTTCCAGACAGTTTGGGTTTTTTTCACTTCTTTCAATATCTGAGCATTTACCAACTTCCAGTACCCTGGCTTTCAGCAAGAGGTTATACATTACAGTTAACAGTTCGACTTGCTTACTCAGCTACTGTCTGGGCACATCAGCTAGCTGAGGGGAGCTGTCACTGTCTGCTGATGTGTTTGTTCTGAAACCTTTTTACTGACACTTAAAGGGTGGCTACAAAGCAGATGAAGATTCCTTTTTTACAAGGAGTCATATGGAAAAGACTTGGGGTAATGGGTACCAGTTACTCCTGGGGACACTCAAATTAGGTATAAGAAGAAAATTTTTCACACTGAGAACAACTAGCCACTGGAATAATCTCCCCAAGGGAATGGTGGATTCCTCAACATTGGACATGGAATGTTTGGCTGGACAGGGTGCTGGGACATACAAAGTGTCTAGGTCATGCTTTGCCTAGTAAGGTTGGAACAGATGACCCCTGAAGTCCCTTCCAACCTGGGATTCTATGACTTCAACTTGACAGATCCTGCAACACGTCCCTTTTCCAAAAGACTTCGGCATGAGCATCTCTAGTTCCTCAACTCTGAACATGAATACAAAAACCTTTCTAAGTTGATCTACCTAATTTTAAGTGAATTACTGATTTGTCATCTGTTGGACAGGTTAACCTAGTAATTTTCATGTTTAACCTAGTGATCTTCATGTTCTCTTCTGTTCTCTGCATTTGGAAGCAATGTGCAGTCTCTCCCTCTGCAGAGTAGTTGTACACTTAATCTGAATCCTCATAAATAGTTCTCATACTGCTCACAACTATTTTACCCTTTTGACCACCTGATTTTTCTTAAGTAAGTTTTATTGTTTTCCTATAGTTCCCCTTCTGAAGTTCATTACAGCCTGTAATGCTGAAACTGCTAAAAAACAAAGGAAGATTTTAAATTTTTGTGGGTTTTTTGTTTTGGTTTTTTTTAAGCAGTTCCTGTATGCTCCTTTGGACCAAATAAAGAGACATTTCCCCTTGTGGGTTCTTATGACTTAGTGCTCCATGAAGAAGTCATCACACTTACCCATTCTATAAAGGATGACTCAAGTATTCCATTAATGTATTTCGTGTCTGCAGATTGGCTGATCTCTTCTCACACACGATAGTTACAGTTGCTCTCCTGCTCAGCAGTATAATATAGAAGCTATGCTCATCCTAATTTAAGCCTGAAAGCTGAATCTGTAAGCATTCCATACTAGTTGATACAGTCAGCTTGTCTGTTAGTTGCTAAGCATTCTTCAAGGTACAGAACCATTCTACTCACAGTCCTGAGTGAACACATCTCTTGCGTTAGTACCACACTATCTAGATTATTTTTCCTACATCAAATACCTAAAATATTTTAATAGTGCCACGTTTCTCAACTATGTTTCTCAGATGCTAGCAGTTATGTGTAAGCGTATTTCTCTCTGGGTCTGATGTTCTGTGTGTGTGCTTTTTTGAAAAGGGACCTGTTGGTGTAAGTTTCATAATTCTGAATTTGGGGGTTGCCAATCTGTGTGTCACTCTTTAGCTGAGGATACTGGTATTTGTGGGTTATTTTATTATTGAGTTTTCATTTTTCAAGAGCAACTGGTCTTCAACAATTATACTGTATCTACCAGATCCTGAGTTGCACAGGACATAGCCTAGAACACTGATGTAATCTAAGTCATAACTGCTATCTTACTAATTGATTTGCTGTTTCAACATGTAGAAATGTCAACTAGTTCTGCCATTCTGAATAGTAGCTATTTGCCTTAGCAGTAACATTTTGGTATGTAAGGAAAGCAGAACTATGTCACTCTTTGGAAAGGTGGTAAAAGACCAACATGGTGATTTCAGTTTCATGTGCAAACTCCTTTCACTCCTTTCCAAAGATCAGTATACACACCCCCAGTGTGAGAGTTTCATCAAGACTACACACAGAGCTTGGTCACCTTCCTGGTAGCAATGCCAAGGACTGTACACTTACAGGTATTCCTGTTTAAAAATCTATGGGGAAAGTAAATTGTGTTACATGTTCTTATATATGGGGGGGGAGAAAAAGGGTCAGTATAGTTCTTTGGCATTTTAGGCATGTTTGTAATAAAGTGAAAAACACTTAAGAATGAGTATAAACACAAACACAACCAATATACCATGTATCAATTTCTAGTATCATTATTTAAGAGTCACATTGCATAATTATCTCACTCATATGTGAAATGTGAAGCTGAAAGCATCTTAAAATAAACCCAGACAATCCTTCCTCTTTAAGCTCACATTCAAGTAGAAATCTATTTATGAGTCTGTATCCTGAGTGTTTGGATTGGCAGTGCATGACACTGTATTCCATCTACTTAAATTGACATTGCTTCCTCTTCTTAAAAAAGGGGAAGCATTCTAAATTTCTCACAGTTAACTGATCTGGCCACTGTACAGCCTTGCACATATCTGGCTTAAGTTTTTCATATCCTCTTTTGCAGTTGTACTAGATCCTACAGCACTCAGGAAGTTCTGCTGCAGCTACGTATACTTTTAGTGGGGATTTTTACTGAATAAGCATACACCTGGTTCATAGCTTCTAAACTTCCAACTATTTCAGAATACACAGGTGTGTGATTATAGCAATACTTAAGTATTACATAGCACTGTTCACTTGTAGATGTTAAGACTAATAAAACACTTTCTCCTTTCCTTCATGCTCCAACTTAAAACATTGAAGCATTTCAGTAAGCAGACTCACCCTCTAGATTTTCCACATAGGAGTTGGACATGAGTGCTGAATGTTGAGTCCATTTCTCTGTTGAACCTGATGGCTGGTATTCCAGGTCAGAGATAAAACTGTCTGTGTCAGAGAAGAAGACAGACATAACTACTGACTGGACTAAACCAAGATGTTACAGTTCACTCAACCAGGAAGTGACTTTCAATTTTCTTTTAATAGCACTAACTTTAAATACCCACTTTCATTCACAACTACTACATATGTTGACATAAGTAACTATTTATAAATTATCAGAGTGCCTATTAAAAACAATATCACTTATCTCATATATATAGTTACTTTTCAGTTAGCAGCCAGAGCCATAAAGGTAATGGTTAATATTTTTTGGATGTCTGCCTAGTTGTATCATGATGAATTTTATACTAAATAAATTTCATTTTAGTACGCATGTTAGTTCAGAACATTCCTTCTGCAATTTCCTCAATCTGTTTTACTTACTGTGGTCAAATTAAAAGTGCTTACATCCTCTGACAGCACCTCCACTGAACAAGGCAGTCAAAAGAGTACTAGCAAATAACATGTTTATTTTTATTTTTCCTATCCTTTCACCAGAGGAAACCGTTGCTACAACACGTTAGGTTCCCCTCTACTTGTCAGGCTGTTTTCACATTTTGCCCCAGGTACTGATCTGCAGTCAGGCCACAGACAGGCTGATGTGCTGGAAACCTAAGCATGATCTTGGTAGACCAAGGCAATGTGAGAAACCAGGGAGGAAGTGGAGAACTGTACTCCATTCCACTGTTTTTCCTGGAGGAAAAATGAATGTGGACCAGTGTATTTATTACTTTAACCAACAAAGCGTGTGTTTGTTCAGTTGTGATCAGTGACTATGCAGAGCATGCAACAGTATACTGGGCTGGGTTTGGGTTTGAGTTTTTTCCCTGCCAAAGAGAGAGCTGCAAGTTTAGTAGAACAGGTTTTAATACAATTAACAATATTACTCTGAAAGCTGGCTAATTTGTGCCTTCTGGATAGAGCCATACATTTGCTTTGCCGGCATGATTTCTAAGCCCTGCTTACAGGTGACTCCTGAGAGAATGAGTCTGTTCTTACTTCCTTATGAAATTCAAGCAGTTCAAATTACTTCTTTGAATGACTTATGCTTAATTGTTTAAAGTGTAAAGTTACATGTATTTAAACAGGAAGTGGAAAGCATTATCTGGGTTTCAATGCAAATGTCATAGAATCATACAATACTTAGGGTTGGAAAGGACCTTAAGATCATCTAGTACCAACACCCCTGTCATGGGAAGGGACACCTCCCACTAAACCTGTCACCCAAGGCTTTGTCCAACCTGGCCTTGAACACTTCCAGGGATGGAGCATTCACAATCTCCCTGGGCAACCCATTCCAGTGCCTCACCACCCTAACAGGAAAGAATTTCCTCCTTATGTCCAATCTAAACTTCCCCTGTTTAAATTTAAACCCATCACCCCTTGTTCTGCCACTACAGTCTCTGATGAAGAGTCCCTCTTCAGCATCCTTGTAGTTCCCCTTCAGATACTGGAAGGCTGCTATGAGGTCTCCACGCAGCCTTCTCTTCTCCAGGCTGAACAGCCCCAACTTTTTCAGCCTGTCTTCATAGGGGAGGTGCTCCAGTCCCCTGATCATCCTCATGGCCTCCTCTGGACTTGTTCCAACAGTTCCATGTCCTTTTTATGTTGAGGACACCAGAACTGCACACAATACTCCAGGTGAGGTCTCACAAGAGCAGAGCAGAGGGGCAGGATCACCTCCTTCGACCTGCTGGTCACGTTCCTTTTGATGCAGCCCAGGATGTGGTTTGCTTTCTGGGCTGTGAGCAGACACTGAAGCCGGCTCATGTTAAGTTTCTCATCCACCAACACCCCCAAGTCCTCCACAGGGCTGCTCTGAATCTCTTCTCTGCCCAACCTGTAGCCATGCCTGGGATTGCTCCCACCCAGGTGTAGGACCTTGCACTTGGCATGGTTAAACTTCATGAGGTTGGCATCAGCCCACCTCACAAGTGTGTCAAGGTCCCTCTGGATGGCATTCCTTCCCTCCAGGGTATCAACCGAACCACACAGCTTGGTGTCATCGGCAAACTTGCTGACGGCGTACTCAATCTCACTGTCCATGTCACCAACAAAGACGTTGAACAAGACCGGCTCCAACACCGATCCCTGAGGGACACCACTCGTTACTGGTCTCCAGCCAGACATTGAGCCATTGACCACAACTCTTTGTGTGCAGCCATCCAGCCAGTTTTTTATCCACTGAGTGGTCCATCCATCAAATTGATGTCTCTCCAATTTAGAGACAGGGATGTCGTGTCGAATGATTTGCACAATTCCAGGTAGATGACATCAACTGCTCTACCCCTGTCCATCAGTTCTGTAGCCCCACCATAGAAGGCCACCAAATTGTCCATGCCATTTTGAAACAAAGCAGTAGATAAAGGACAAATTCTAGTCAAATAATAGGAGATTAAGAAAATAATGTTTTTTCCACCAACTATGATACAACCAGCAAGAAAAGGACATCATATAAAGATATAATGAATCCAGGGAGATGAGCAGAAAACTATGTTGGGATGAAACAAATCAACTTTTACCAGCAATCCTCTTTAAATCTCAGGCTTTCAAAGGAGTAGACAACAAACACTGACAAAAAGCCTCTAGAGAGGACAGTGGAGTTAATTAGCTCTTGTAAGCAACAGCCTCTGCACCATAAAGTCTGTAGAGCTTAGACGATAAGGATTATCTGTCACTTTAGCAGAGAAATATGCTTTGAAGCAATTTTTCTAATTGATTTTGTACATAGAAGGACTCTGAGGTTCTTGCATATCCCAACAAAGCTGCTGACAGCACTGAGGTTTTGCTCTTACACATCCCTGACAAAACATGTTATGCGTAACATGTCTCCAGACAGCACCTTCTGCAATGAAGCATGCACTGGCCTCAGGCACCCAGTTATTTGTTGTTTGTGAATCACAGTAAATAAAGCAACAGCCTTTTAAAAGCATGAAATATAGCATAAAGATTTTGTTCAACATGCACTGAAGTTACCAGAACTTGAGGCACCAGATAAATACAAATTAAAAGTACCTTTCTACCTCATGATTTCAGGAACATATGAGAGCTTTTTACTTCCTTAAGCAAGCCTATAACGTGCTTTGTACCCAAAGAATATAACATTAAAATTAAAGCTATTACACTGAAATGGAAATGAAGAAAACTGACATCCTGTAGATCTATTTAACTGATCAAAAATACATGCTTTTATGAATCACCTCCTTGTCTTGGATTCTCCCTTAAAGAAAGAAATGTTAAGAAAAAACTTTAATCACTCCATTATCTGCATTTACTTTGGGTCAAAGCAGTATGTCTAGTTAAAATTAAGAGTTCTACTATGCATACAGTCAGACTAAAAGGCTACTGCAGTTACACCTTTGATTTTCAGGACCAATTCCTACAGGAACCAATTAACTCTTTTGTAGCACTATTTGGATAAAAGCTTAGTTTTTCTATCCTTCACTGCTACTGAACTGAAGCAGGATATGTGGGCAATGGGACTTGGCCTAAAAGATATACTGGTTTTAGAAAAGTAGACTCCAAAATATTCTAGAACGCAAGATTGTTTGCAGTGGCACTAGGGTTTTTTTAATATGCTTTGCAAAAATGAGTTCAATGTGACTGTATGGTAGTTGATCATACCAACTGTATAGGTTTCGTAGTATTGCTGCATCCACCTTGGAGTTTCTGTGGTTTAGAGGACAGGTGAATGAATTGCTGCATCTGCAGGTAATGAGGATCAGTTATCTTCAAAGAACATCGTGGCTAGATTGCAGTGCACACTTCCTTAGGGACAGGCCTTTGTTTGTCAACTCCAGATGGAACTTTATCAGCTGCATTCGTGTGAAGAATCCCTGCAGCTACGTCACAGGGGTTAGTGCAGCATATTTAGCCTGGTTTTGACTCCACATGACCAGCAACTAGGACAGTGTCAACTTTCCCTAAAAGAAAAAACGCAACAGGCACTGCCAGGCTATAATTAACCCTCAGTGTTCTCTGCTGTAGAGCTGCCAGCTCATTCTGTTGGTCTGTGATCAAAACCAGTCGCTGTGTTTGCAATGGCAAGTTATTGAGGATGTGGTGAGCTACCTTGCAAGTTACCATCCCAAGCCACAGGACAGGGTTCCTTTGAGAATTTTCAGGTTCAATTCCAACTTGACTAGAAAGTACTTTTTTTTTTTTCCTTCAATTGACTGATAAAATAAGGCTGTTTGAAATGTTAGGAGGAGTGTAGTTTTCCTGTACATATTATATATATAGCTAGACAGACAGGCTGAATGTGCCTGCAGAGTCACAGCACAAGCTCTACAATTGTTTGGCTCAGTAACAAATATCTCTCTTCATGTCATCATTATGTCACCACACCCAATTTATGTATCATAGTGAACCACCTCATTTCAGTCATATATTTACCCTTTCTCTCATGCAAGAAGAGAAACAGTCTAACATAGTAATTATAAAGCGTGAACCTTGGAGCTGGAGGACATGTGCTGTGCAGTGGAAAGCAGCGTGAAAGCACCTAAGCATACTTTAGCTGGTGTCACCAAGGAATGCCTAATGCCTTCCAGTTCCGCTACAATTGCAAATGTCTGCAACATGATGTAGACGTGCCATCTGCGCTCACAGAGTAAGCTTCTACTCTAGTAAGTCTTACATGGGAATCTTTTTGCAGTGGTGCAACCAGCTGAGCTTACTTTGAATTGGTTATGAGGTGTCCTATGGCTCTCAGGGCAATAGGAAGTTTCATATGGTCATAGATGGCTGACGAGTTACCTGAAGTTCTTTACACATCAGCAGTCTCTATCTCACCAGGTGACTTGCTGGCACACATTTTATGAACACAGTGAATGAATCTACTAGAAGATATGATTGTAGCATCCTTTAACCGCTGTCAGAGGATAACTTCCTCTTCAACTTTTCTCCCTGTTTCAACCTCTTCCTTTTAATCTACTGATAAGTCTGGATCTTTCTCTGGTTCATTCATAACACCCATCCATTTTTAAAAGTAGATTTCTATTCTCTCC